GAATAAATAATTCAGTTTTGAACGATCACTCAACATGGTTGAATCATTAACCCTCAGTTTGTCTGGTAGATCATCTATACTAAAAACATATTATTTTCCACCGATAAAACTGGATAGAGATAAAATTTATGTTCTTGGTTTGGCAGAATTACTTACATTCAATTCGATACCAAATGTTGATGTGGGACACAATAAGTTCAAAGTTGGTGACATTGAAATTGAACTATCAACAGACATTTATGAAATTGGTGACATAGATAAATATTTGAAAGGTTACTTGAAGTCAACAGGGATAAAACTTGAAATAAAGCCCAACAACAATACTTTATGCAGTGAAATAACTTGTAATGAACCAATCGATTTTCAATCAAATAACTCTATTGGACGTTTGTTAGGTTTCACCAAACGGTTGTTGCCCGTAGATATACATAATGTCTCTGACATGGCTGTTGCCATTCTCAAAGTAAACGCGCTACGCTCGAATGTAACATAACTTCTGGAGCATATGTCAATCAAAATAAGGGACATATCATTCACGAATTCTTTCCAGCTGTACCACCAGGATATAAAATCATTGAAGTTCCTAAACAGATCATATATTTGCCTGTAACTGTCAAAGTTATCGATCATTTACAGCTACGTCTAATTGATCAAGATGGAAATTTATTAAACTTTCGTGGTGAAACAATCACGATCCGTTTACACATAAAAAGAGTTTTATGATGGGAATAGTTTATAATCATAAACTAGGCAACGGCTATATAACAACTCCATCATGCGCTTAGAAAGTCAGTCATCGATGGATAGCCAAATGTCTAACACGTCGCAACATTCAGTTCCTGAAAAATCTCGGTCTGAACGTCGTCGGAAGCGCCACAATAAAAAGAAGAAACGTGAAAAATTTGAAAAACTAACTTGTATATTTGTGTGTTTTTGTGATCTCAAAAATGGAAGAAATACTTAGGGTGCAAGCACCTGTCATTTTTGATGAATCCATAGCTCACTATGAAGTTCATGCACATCAACCTTATAATTCACAAACATTCAATAATAGCGATGAAATTCGCATACTGATACAACATCAAGATTTATGTCTTTTACCATCAAAAAGTTCTCTACACATCGTTGGAAAAATAAGAAGACAAGATGGTACTATTGTTACTGAAACAAAGTTCGTCAATAATGCTATATGTCACCTATTCGAAGATTACCGATATGAAATTAATGCCATTGAGATAGACAAATGTAAAAATATTGGACTAACAAGTACGATGAAAGGTTTGGTTTCATTGAATCAAAATCAAAGTCGATTTCTGGAGAATGCTGGCTGGCTTGATATTGAAGAAACTAAGAAGATAAATGACAACAATGGTAAGTTTGATATGTCAATACCTCTTTCAATGATTTTAGAATTTGCTGAAGACTATCACAAAATTGTTGTGAATGTAAAGCATGAACTTATTCTTACTCGATCAAGAGATAATTTAAACGCAGTCATGCAAGCTACTGTCAAAATTGATAATGTTGATACATATGAGCTTCTTAAAATAGAACTCACAAGAATTGAATGGTTAATGCCGTATGTAATTATGTCTGATAGGCGTAAAATACAGTTGTTCAATTTCATTTAGAAAGATGCACCTATTTCTATGAGTTTTCGGTCGTGGGAACTTTATGAGTATCCAGCATTACTACAAACATTAAAACATCTTTGAACTGTAAAAACATCCAATCAATTGGAAAAACCAAGATATATTGTATTAGGTTTTCAAACAAAACGCAAGTCTGATAAAACTAAAAATTCTAGCAGATTTGATCATTGTAATGTAACCAATGTTAAACTTTTTCTGAATTCTCAGCAATATCCATATAGAAATTTGAATCTTGATATAAGTAACAATCAATACTCTGTCTTATATGATATGTATGCTCAATTCCAATTGAATTATTACAATAGAGACTGTATGTTCAATTCACTTTTAGATCGAAAACAATTTATTACACATGCACCGTTAATAGTGATAGATTGTTCAAAGCACAATGAATCTTGGAAACAAGCTGCTGTCGATGTACGTCTTGAGTTTGAAACCAAAAATGATGTACCCACGGTAACAGCTGCATATTGTTTGATTTTAGACGATCGTATAGTTAAGTATAATCCTATAAGTGGTCATGTAACCAAACTTGTTTAACTCATATAATAGCTATGTATACTTTTTCTGAATACGTAACTCTAATTAAAGAACTTGAGAAAAAAGCAGTTGGATTCAGATATCTTTGCGGATATTTACTTGAATTTGTAAAACCATAAAGTTTTTATCAATGTAACAGAATATTGCATAAATAAAACCCAAGTCAAATAAATACTTTAGTCTTTTTCATTCATTTCAACGATGAGCATTGATGTGATACTTGGTAGAGCTGACGAATTAAACTTGAAAAATTTACATGAGAATCTGTTAGTCGAACTAAAAATTTTAAAGATACTATATTAAAGTTAAAAGCTGAATTAAAAGAAATGAGTTCATTGATCGATATTCATCGAGAGAAACTTGATATAAAATTTCTAGGGGTTTATTCAGACATTTACAAGTTGAAGCAAAGTCAGATACCCCCACCATGATGTGCTTGCAGCTTGTATAAAGAAGCTTGGCTAATGAACCACACCTCATTCACTTTCTATATCTGCACCACGAGTCGTTCGCCTTCTGTAGCAGCACCAGCTCAATCATGACACAATTTATTGATTTCATTCAAGCTAAGATATTAGCCAGCTTGAATGCACATATTATTTCTATGTTTGATGGTACAGACCCTACGATTCAAAAAGAGATGGATTCCTTAGAGTATTACTATGACGAAGGTGTAGAATTGATAACAGATGCTTATTATTATGAATATTCGGAGAAAGATTGCAGAAAAATTGAATACTCCATAGCCTTGTTGAAAGCTCTTTGATATATGAAAGATTACCAGAAGACAATTGGTCATGGAAATAGTTATATTTATGATTTTAAACTAGATGATATTCTAAGTGCTATTCAAAGTAGGTTAGCTACACAAACATTGACAAATATTCGTTATTCAATAAACAAGGTTTTTTTCAAATATATGGCTGAATGTGTTCAAGTCACGATATTTAATTTGGTCAAAAAGACATTTCTAAGAGAAGTAGACATTGTTTATACAGCTATGTATGAAGAAAAAATTAGCAATCAATCTCCAAAAAAAAAAATAAAAGTCAAGCTGTTCAAAGTGGAAACTATTCCTCTTTACTCAACTCAAACCTATCAGAAATAGTTTGAAGAAAAAGTACAAGAACCTCTGATGACTATGATGGAAAAATTTGAACGTAACTATCCTTCTTACTCTTTTGAATTTATGACAAATGCAGTTGTCAGCTATTATAAGTAGCACAGTTTGAGCATCATCAGATCATTCAGCACCAAACATTCAAATAATATGGACCGCTATCCAAATGTGAAGTACTCTCGTCTTCTGCAAATAAACAGTTTGACAACGGAAAGAAAAAAACAAATAATCATATGTACATGTTTAATATATGTAAGCATATAATCATCACGCTCAACCTCAATAATTGTTTAGTTGTTTATAATTTATGATAATAAATAGATTTTTTTTTTCATGTAAATTATATCTCTGTTTATTTAATAAACCTAACCCCGAAAGTTGATAATAAAAAAACTTTTATACTTACACAGACCTAAACTTTCTACTCAATCACAATCAATCAGCATAAAGCAAACATTTTTTATTTTGGCATGGAACAAGGGGCATGGGGCATGGGGCATGGGGCATGGGGCTGGGGGCACGCACGTCGATACAAGAGTCGGTATCTGCCGGCGGGGGGCATGGGGTCTGCACGTCGGTACACAGTGGGTCGCAAACGATTCCCGTCAAGCAGGTCGATATACATAGGTCGATAAACCAGCTCATAGATCGCCAATATAAGGATTTATAACGTTACCGATCGTCGGTAGAGTAGGCATTGAAAAATCGCATGGTAAGTGGTTCAGGATCCCTTTAGCCCCTACTACTCATATATATATATATAATTTGTATAATTTTCCAAATTCAATACGAAAACGAATTCTTACTCGTTAACGCGAGAACCACGAGAGTACGAACAATATAAATAATTAGTGATATTAACCTCATATTTATATTCTTGCTTATTATTTATTTCATTTAAAAAGTTGAATTATCATACATGAAAAAAGTTTATCTATATGATTAATGATTAGTATGTGCATTTTAATGATAATCGCTTGTTATGGTACTCCGCGACCGTCGTGAGCACCGGTCAGTAGCTTACTCTAGGTTACCTACGAGCCTTCGCGTTGCGCTTGCATCTACAATAGAGAGAGAGAGAGAGAGAGATTGAGAAAGAGACACAATTCCGTTGTTCGATATCGTCTTTCGGTGGCTAGCCTATGTACCCTCGAGGGTGACGTTCCAGCCGATGATTCCTGTTGCCCGCAGCTGATTTATTCTTGCCAAGTAAGTCGAATGGATCGATCCCTGGTATCACAATAGCGAAACCGTGCGTTCGTGTTATGTTACTCGTTGTATCGTCCTGCGTAATAGTATTAGCTGTGCGTCCGTGTACAATACCGAATTCTCTCTTTGACTCCGTGCAACGCTCATAATAAGTGCGCAGCTTTCGCTAACTATATAAAATTCGATTTGTAGATAACAAAGTGCTAAGAAAATCTATTAATAACAGTCTATTAATAAAAAAATTGCAGATTTATAATTTTCTATATTTTGAGAATTGAAATTTGCACTTTTCTGAAGAATCACCTATATACATATAATATATCTATATACCTCGTACTACAATAAACTTATTCACTTCAACTAATCACCCAGTAAAAATAATAAAATAATGCTAAAAATACTCATCTCAAATAGCAAAACATTTATAGTTTCCAAGATACCGTTAAATATATGATTAATTATTTAATCATATTTTTTAGCTTAGAAAATATAATGAACATTGACGAGTTTCGCGTTCGAGGCAAAGAAATGGTGGAATACATATGCAATTACCTTTGTACATTAGAAAGTCAGCGGGTCACAGCGAATGTTGAACCAGGATACCTACGCTCTCTTTTGCCAAGTGAAGCTCCTATGAAACCAGAATCATTTGATGACATCATGAAAGACGTAGAGTATAAAATAATGCCTGGGGTGAGTATAAAATCTTTTTAATAATAACGAAACTGTTACAAATTAAAGTGTATCATTTGTATTCATTATTCCCATCAATCTTATTCAGAATCCAATAGATTAAAAAAAGTCTTCACTAAGGACCAATAGTACTAATTGTATAGTATTATATTAATTCTCAGAACGGAATGTTTGGAAATAAGCATTTGCATATGAAGAGTTCTAAAATATTTTCATGGCTTAGATTCCCACGAATTCAATCTCGACAGCAGCTGGTTCGCGAATATGTAAATATACGAAGCATAACGTCATTCACAAGAGCGACTAGATCGCAAATAAAAGTGACTAGACCATATACATGAGCGGCTAGACATTAAAAGCGATCAAAACAAATCTATACCAAAATCTCGGGGTCTTTTAAAATTCATTTTTAAAATTTTCAAATGATTTAAATTCGTAATTAAAAATACATTTATTGTGAATTACTAATAACTAACAATTGAAATAGTGAATGATTATCAACTCAAAATTTCAAATAAAATAAAATGTATCAAACGAAATATATATTATTAAATGAAAATCAAAAATGATGTTCAATATTAACGAGTAATAAGCTTGAAGGAAAGAGGCGTGAGGGATTAATTACGGTGATTGCGGGAGTTTATGGGTGCATAGATCGTGAGCTGCGTTAAGCTAATAGCTTCTTTATTAACATAGTTACTACATGAAGTTTACATAAAAAGGTCGGATAGTAGGCTCGCGTAGCCTGTACAGAGTGTTGAGTGGCCAACTCACCGCGTGGTTTAGAGAGCTCTCTTACCTATTGTCTATCACGACGACGCCCTGTGGGTAGGTTAGCGAAACCGGGAAGAAGATGCCAGGCGGTGTACGGCGGTGCATGCAGTTCCGACGTCTCGGACACGGGAGCAGCCCTCACTGCAATGCAGCCGAATTTGCCGATTGGTAGGCAGCGGGTTCTGACACCCCCTCAGAGAGTAGAAGGCCCTCTGCTGACGCGTCAAGCTGCTTGGTCGCCAGCCCCTTTCTCTCGCGTCGTCGTACACACATACGTAAGGACCCACTGACGGGTTTGGTCACAACGCGTACGCGCACTACGAACAAAGGGGGGGGGGCCACTTGTGATATGGCCGGAAACTTTGGTGCGTCTGTTACCAATCGTTTGCGAGGCGCGAGAATGGTGAAGCTCGACTTTTTACGTCCGAACGCCGCGGATGCTCTCGAGAGACTGCTGTTCAACGCCGGCGGCCCTCGACAATGCCTAGCAAGGAGCTGCAATGATGGGTGGGGGCATTTCCCTTTTTTCTCTTCGTTGGGCCCCAAAAGATCCGAGTAGCTGATATCAATGGTAGCGTTGTCGTACGGTTCTTGAGAAGGTCGCTGGCTACCTGAGAGGTCGTTATGCGAGACCCTGTTTGTTGCTGCGTACTGGCGGCTGTGTAGCATGTGTCCTGCGATGAAATTTTCCCCGAATGAAGTGTTATGCTTGAGTAGTGGCAGATTATTATCTTGAATGGCTCGTAAGTTTTCGGCATGAGGTGAACACTTGGGTCGTTAAGAAGCGTCGGCAGCAAGCAAGAAAGGGAAAAAAACACGCTCACCAACACGTGAAGAGCAGCGCGCGCGAACAAATAAGAATTTAAATTATTGATAACTACGTAAAAGTAATTAACAACTTATCATAAGAGCGTTATTATAACAATTTAATATTGATTGTAAAGTAAATGAGCCAGGAATTTAAGTGAAAATCACAACAAGTGACGAAAAACTCTATATTTGTCTTAGTTTAATAATTTATGACTATAAAGTTTATTTGGTTAATAAATAATAGAATTATTAATGCAATTATTTACTTAGAATTTCAAAGAAACTAACAAATTGAATTTGGCATCATATGAATTTGGAATCATACAAGTAGTATACTACTTGTGTACTATTAAACTAAAATTTAATTAAATTGGAACATTGTATAAGCGTTAAAACCTGAAATTTCAATCGTAAATCTCAATTCTAGCGACTTGCTGGAGCGTGATTGCGAACTTTCGTAATTTCATTGTTGGGGAGAAATTCCCACAACCATCTCATGTATAAATAGGGCTGTTTACACCACAAGAAGCAGTAACCTTAATTCAACCTTGTGGGCAACGTGAGCAGTAAATCAATTATACTAAATAGTCGGAGTTCTCTTCGATTTTTATTTTTATTTCATTTACTGTCTTGCTTAGCAAGTCACCTCCTATCCTTTTACACTGAATGGACATCTCCGGAGGAATGTATCTCTTCGAGAAAGATCCTACGAGTATTATTTCCATAATTACTTGATTAATCCACATATTGAAATCCTTGAAAAATTCTCCAAGATTTCTCAGAATGTTTCCCAGACTATTTGTTTGACAGCACGATTGAGTCTTGTGGACATTCTTGCAAGGAACGTTGAACGAAGGCTTAGTTTTTCAAGAAACTAATTAACTCGTTAAATGATTTTTAATTAATTTAAGGCAAAGAATGACTACAAGTTAATGCCTCAATGCTGTTGAGGACAGTATCCCTTACAGTAAGGGTAGAAATTCGCGAATATATATGGCCTACTATAATTGCGATTTGCTAAAATTTATTAAAAACTGAAGTAATTTCCAGTTATTATTTTAAAGATTACAAATTGTGGAGAGTAGGTAAACAAGAAAGGCATCAGCCCAGGTGGGCATTAGCTCAGGAGGATATCAGCTCACTGAGTTGACTTCCCTGAGCTAGTGCCCGTGCATCTTCAGCTCAGCACTGTCAACTCACCTCCCCTCCTCTTTCGTACTTCGGCATTGTCGACTCATCCTCCCACCCGAACTAAGTTGATGCTGTTCGGCACTGTCGACTCACCCTCCCCCCCCAACTAAGTTGATGCTGTTCGGCACTGTCGACTCATCTCCCTCCCACCCCCTTATTATTAATTTATTTTGGTAATATAGTATTTTGGTAGTATAGTAATTAGTATTAACTAATATATTTAGTTAATAATAATTCTATTATAATTTTTGTGTATGTGTGTGTGTTCGCTGAAATAAAAGAGATATTATTATTAATCTTTTATTACTATATATATATAATTATTTGTGACGGGGTGGTTATCTACCAAATAGGGAATTTATTAACGCACAAACTTCCCCGATGCAGAGATAACCGCCGCTCCGTTAAACACGTATACGTTATACGTGTATTCGCCTTTACGTTTGATAATTACGTTTCAGTTTCTTCTTTTTATCCGAGTTGAACTCACCTTAAGTCACTTGACTTGTGACACTCGATCTATCTTAGGTGTGAGTGACCTAATGCTTAATCCGACTAATCCCCTAGACGAAATCGGATTAAAACTTAATCCTTAAAAGATCTGTTAAGCTATTTGGAAACGAAATGACGTAAACGGCGAATAAAATTAATAATGTTTAATTCATAAAAAAAAACTAGTCTTTTACGGGCCGAAAGACTAACGCACGCAAAATAGGATTTACAATTATTGATAATAATTCGGTGAGAGAGAGAAAGAGAGAGAGAGAGAAAGAGAGAGAGAGAGAGAGAAAGAAAGAGAGAGAGAAGAGAGAGAGAGAGAGAGAGGAGAGAGAGAGAGAGAGAGAGAGAGAGAGAGAGAGAGAAAGAGAGAGAGAGAGAAAGAGAGAGAGAGAGAAAGAGAGAGAGAGAGAGAATTCAAACTTTGCCGCGAAAATTGACGCTCGGCGCGAATACAAAAAATAACGCTCGCGATAGACAAAATATTCTCGCTCATATTTTGTCGTGTAATAAAAGGAAGGTGTACCTACCCTGCGGTGCAATTACGGTGATCAACCGTAATAGTTGATGCAAAATTAAAAGGTGCTCCTCGGATCCAAATCAGCTGCGCTGCCTTGCTCTCAAATCTGCTGCTGCTTTAGATGCTGCTGCTGTAAATGCTGCTGCTGTGGTGTTTCCTCGCTACACTCGCTTGGATTGATATTCCCGGAAAACTTTAACAAAAACGGCGAAACACTGTGCAAAATAACTGACGATACCACTCACGTAACAACTGAGGCTTAACTGACTTTTTCAAACTCTCGCGCGCCCTCTCTCTCTCTCTTTTAATAGATCAAACTAACATCGCGAGTGTACGAATCGCGAACGGATCGATTAATCGAATTGACTACCGTTGCATATTTTAATAAAGATAAAAAATACAAAAATATGAAAGAACAACTAATATATAAAGTTATAAAATATACGAGGTCTGTCCGGAAAGTATCGGGCCTACCTTTATATTTTCGTGCTAGCGTTATTTTTTATCATCTGGTTGGTGGCATCCTTCAAAGTAAATTCCACTTGATTGAATAAGACGGTTCCATCGATGTTTCCACTTTTCAAAACAGTCCTGGAACTCACATTTAGGGATAGCCTTAAGTACACTCGTCGCATTGTTTTCAACCGTTGTTTTGTCATCGAATCGGTGTCCTTTGAGTGGTTTTTTTTAGTTTTGGAAACAGCCAAAAGTCACAAGAGGCTATGTCGGGACTGTATGGAGGTTGTCGAAGCAATGCAATATTGTGTTTGCTTAAAAACTGCTGCACAAGATTGGATGAATGCGCTGGCGCATTATTGTGATAGAGAAGCCAGTCACCACTTTCATAAAAGTGCGGCCGTTTTCTTCTTACTGCATCACGCAAACGTTTTGAAATTTGAACGTAGTATTCTTTATTGATTGTCTGATCTGTTGGTGCACATTCGTGATGTACAACACCTTCACAATCGAAAAAAACAATCAACATTGTCTTAACGTTGCTCCGACTTTGACGATTTTTTGGTCTTGACGATTCAGAATGCTTCCACTGTGAAGATTGTTGTTTTGTTTCAGGATCATAACCCATGATTCATCACCTATAATAACTTTTCTAAGCACATTATCATCATTATTGACCATTTCCAAATTGTCCAGAGCGATTTCTAAGCGAATATTCTTCTGCTCTGCTGTGAGCAATTTTGGGATGAAT